ACCTATGAGGGCCATTCATGAGGTTTCTGGTGGATTGCCGGTCGGGGCTCACTAATGCTTCCCTCCACTTTTCCAAAGCCCTTGATGGATCAGGTCTTCCGGCCCTACATTGAGGAGTCGTTTGTTTTAAGTCTTTTGACTGATATATTGGTGGTTATAGCCAATCTCTGCAGAAGACCATATCACCCATCTTGGGGTGGTACTCACGGGACCTTATTGGAGTGCAGCACAACTATATGCCAACCAGAAGCAAGAAGTGTTTCTTTCGCTCAGAAGGAGGTTGGAAGTATCTGGACACATCATTTTCGGAGAGTGGGGTAGGCAGCTGACACCACCAAATAAGATAAGAGGCCATGGTGAATTGGCCTACACCAAAATCCCTTAAAAGAACTAAGGGGATTTTTTGGAACTTACGGGCTATACAGTGAGGTTCACAAGGGCTATGTTCCCATAGCGGGTCCCTTTGACTGATCAGTTAAAAAAGGACAATTTTCAGTGGGGAGAAAAGGCGGAGCAGGCCATTGAAGACCCTGAAGAAATCCATGACTAGTGCCCCGGTTTTTTGCATTCCAGAATCTCACCCACAAACAGTTTGTGGTTGAGACTGACGCTTCAGGAGTGCGGTTTGGAGCGGTCTATGCAAATCATTAGGGCCGATTGCTTTCTTCAGCCGGATCTTATCAAAGTAGAGCAAGGCTAAAATCAGTTTATTGAGCGGGAATGATGGCATTTGTTGCGCTATTCAAAGCCGGCCTTATCTATTTGGGACAACGATTGTGTTCGTACTATCAGCGGAGTCGAAGTACTTACTGGCAGCAGAGATTTAAGTGGCAGAAGAACATCAGAGCGTGGTTGCCAAACTCTTGGGGTATGAGATTGAGAATTCAGTATAAGCCAGCGGCGTTCAAAACAAGGCGGCGGATGCTCTTTCGCCGCGTGGGAGTCTCACAGCTGATGGCACTATTCTGTACCACAATTGTAGCTGCGGGTGAATTGGTGAAGGAAAATCAACATGATTGTTAGAGGAGCTAGGAGAGAATTCGGGCGGCTATCCAAGAAGGGAGGAGGGGTTAACAAAGGGATCACCTGGAGAACCTCTTTTATTATACAAGGGCGAGATGGTACACACCGTGACTCAGCATTTTCCATTCTTTCTACGGGAGTACCAACGATAGCCGTGTTGGTGGACATTCAGGGTGGAGAAGGACTTATCGGCGGGTGTGAAAGCCGAATTTTTTTGGAAAGGGTTAAAGGTGATGTCGAAGACATGCGTAACGCAAAATGTGACATTTTGCCAACGGAACAAGTATCAAGCTGTGCCGTTGCCCAGTGGGGTTGCTGGCAAGCCCTTGGTGCTTCCAAACAAAGATTTGGGAGGGAAGTTACCATGTATTTCATTGAGGATTACCCAAGTCTGATTGGGTATACGATACATAATGATGGTAGTTGACCGGATTGAGCAAGTATAGCCATTTCATTCCACTACGGTACCTTTTTCAGCTCCTACTGTAGCATTCTACTTTCATCAGAGAGGTGGTTAGATTGCCATGGGGTCCCCACTTCTATTGTCTTCGAGATGGACAAGGTATTCTTGAGCCTCTTTTTGGAAGGAGATCTTCAAAATGAGGTAATTCTTGAAGCGCGTAACAGCATACCACCCAAGACAGACACGGACAGTCAGAGGTGTGAACCGGAGCATGAGACGTACTTGAGATGCTTCGTTGGGGAGAGGCCTAAGCAGTGGGTCAAATGGTACCATGGGCAGAATACTGGTACAACACTTGTTACCATACCGCAAACTCAGTTCACGCCTTTCAGGATTCTTTATGGAAGGGATCCACCACCGTTGGTGAATTATCAGAAGGCGGACGACCCCTGTATATCTAGGGATCAATACTTGTGAGGAAGGGATAAGGGTTGGGAGAATTTTGAGGGAACACCTATTGAGAGCCCAACAGATCATGAAGACAAGGCGGTATGCTCACCGCAAGATGTGACATTTTTGAGGTGGAGAGATGTATACCTGAAGCTACGGCCTTACGACAGAAGACTTTAGACTAGCAGAAGAAGGAAAAGCTCTCTTCCCGATACTACGGCCTTTCGAGATCGAAAGGAAAGTTGGGATGTGGAACGCCACCGTCTCAAGTTGCCTCCTCATCCTCATCCATCCTGTATCAATGATCACTATTGCAAGAAGAGTATAGGGGATCATTACCGTGACCACTCCTACTATACCCCGAGGCCTCACCGGAGGATATGCAACTCTTACTGAGCCACTACAGGTGAAGGAAAAAGTGAGGGGAAGAATGATCAAGGCAAAAGGAGGTTTCTCATCGAGTGGAAGGACTTACGACCACGAGGCTACTTGGGAGATATTACGAAGCATGCAGGGGCAATTTCCAGATTTCAAACCTTGAGGACAAGGTTGTCTTCTAGAGGGCGGATTGATGGACCGGATGTCACCCGGTACCATCCTAGACCGTGCGGCGTCTATGGGAGAGCGGCGGACCGGCTGTTATAAAAAGGGGCCCACCCACTTAAGTGGGGGTAATGGGATGTTGAGGGACTTTTGGATTGTATGAAGGGGGCCATTGGGTTAGTTTGGAGCATTATGAAAAAGTTGTATTCTCTTTCTAGTTTTCTTCTTTCTAGTTTCCTTCTTGTTCTTTCTAGGGTTTTCTTTGTGGGATCTTGTCCTTCTCGAAGTGGACAAACTTTATCTTGTTTTCTCTGGCTTTCCAATGCAAAGGTTTTGCTTTTTCATCTTCAACCCTCTTGTGATTTGTTCTCTTTGCTTTTGGTGGAGACAGAAATTCCTCATTTTTGGGGGAATTAGGGCAAAACCGAAATTGCTGGAAACCCTAGGCGTATCAGAGTTTAAACGATTTAAACCCTTATTAGAATGTAGATGCGAAGCCTATAATAAAGAACTGACCAGAACAAAAATTATTATGATCATTGTAGGTAACCTTAAACATATTCCTATTTTTGACTATTTTGAGTTTTGTTTATTTTCTCTCTTCTGAATTTGATAAAAATGTATTATCTCCTAATATGGACAATTTCCACAATGTAACTTTTAATATGTTGTAGATATCATCATTCTGAATATTTTGGTAGTCTTATATTGAGATTTCATTAGTTAGTTTTGGATATATGTAATTTTATTCAAAATGAGTTGGAGTCAATGTATTAAATTTGGACATGAAAACATTACATGCATAAAGTTGCTTTTTATTAGGCATAACTTGTATTTTGACATAATACATGCATAATGATAAATACATTGGATAAATTTATATGTTATAATAATTGCATTTGATATATACAAGATGTTTGCTATTATGATACACAAGATATGATACATGTGTAGAATTAAGAAATACTAGCTAAAAATAATTAATTGATTCTATTTAGTCGGAGACATGTTATCATGTACTAGATAGTAGGCTGGTGGGATTTCATTTAAATAAGGTTTGTGGTGTGATTCTAAAAGATATAAAAAAGGATGCATAAAAAGATTGACTAACACACTAATGGGCATGAAATAATGACTTCTTACATGAAATCACTTGAATTGTGCCATGTGATATGAGACTGATTCATATTTATAGGACTGATATGATTAAAACTTATTCATATATGATCTGAAGCGTCTACAAGATTTGATCTAGGAAAAATATCACAATAGTTAGATGTTCTGCCTTGCTTATTATTGTTGTTATATGACATGCATACTACATAATTACATATAATATGATATGACATGAACATAATACATGATAAGATTAATACATGTATGCAATAAGACTTATAAGACTAATACAAAACATATGTACATGGTATACATGCATTAATACAAATTAATATGCTTATAAATAGAGATCTGACAAATTCTATTACATGATAGGCATGTTGATTCACATGACGTAGTACAAAGATAGCATTTATTTATTATAATTGATAAATATAAATTCATATATGTTTCTAATATTGTAATGTAAATGATATGAGTACATAATTGATAGAACATATTGATTACACTCATTTGTATTGTTTATTGATTAAGATTGATCAGACTAATTTATATAATTTATAGTGATTATTATTTGTTTATAGAGATCTGGATTGAATAATCACATACATATTATTTCTACTATCATGTATTAATAATAATTGTAGGTTCTAATAACCTGTTGAGCTATTAGCTCATTCTATGGTTGTCATACTTCAAGTCCGAATATGGATCCAATAGAATGAAGCTAATCTAATTTCAAGATTTCAAGTTTAGATTTGTGCAATTTCTACTTTATTTGTCTATAGTCAGGAGTATTGAAATCTAGATGTATTGATTGAACTTTTGACTAGGATAAATCAATTTAAATAAATAATGATTATAGAAAAATATTTTGGTGTATATGATTACTTTTAATGGATTTAATTTAGATAAATGAATTTAATAGCTCTGATAGATTAATTTAAAGATAAAATATAAAATTCTTCTAAATTTATGTTTTGGGCATGATAATTATAAACTAGGATGTCCTATATTAGGGGGAACAAAATCCTAACATGGCACAAAAGATAGAGCTAGCAATGTAAAAACAAATCATGAGCATTGGCATAGGTGCATCAAAAGAATGAGCAAGATTGACACATATTATTCATTTAAAGGCTAAACATATTATGAGCTTGATAGTTTCACTATCAAATATTTGGCAAAATTTCAATATAAAACATTATAAATAATAAGAAAAGCTAAAAAATATATTAAAAAATAAAATAAAACAAGTTACCCCTTTTAGGGGAGACTTGGGCTGCCTCATTGGCAGAACTACCAATATGGCAACTTAAGTCTAACATGTTAAATTTTAATTTAAGTTAAATAATTTTCCATAAAGATATTAAATAATGACTGTTGCGTGCTAGAATAATGACCTGTGCCAACTGTACAGTTTATTGGTAAGGAAAAAGCCATACAAAGACAATTTATCCATTACTTAAATTGCAACAGAACTTACTTCCTCGGGAACAGTAGCCAAATTAAGGTGTTCATGCATTCTAGAAGCATGAGGAGAGCAAAAATCATCAATATCTGATCCTGATTCAGCAGTAGAAGTATCACTGCATCTTCCCTTTAAAAGGAAACCAAATATTTTCATTCAGAAATGGAAGTGTAAATTCATGATACATACCGAAAAAAGACGAAAGACAGGTAGAGATCAATCAACTCAGAACAAAAAATAAAGGATGACAGTAACAGAATTTTACCTTGGGACTCCGTAGCCATGAACCGAGTCCACGTCTTTGTTCTTTATCTTGTGCTAGTTTGAGCTGCTTTAAAATTCTCGGTTGAGCATTTCGCACATTCTACATTAAAGTGATGAAGATAAGCTATCAATATCTTAGGTTTGAAAGAGCTACATACTCATTGGCAACATGTTATTAGTGGGAATATACAAAGATGCAAACCACTTAAACAATTCTTGGTTCACCTTAATAATTTCAGGATCATTCCATGGTCCTTTATTGGACATGAGACACCCACCTTGAGCAAGACATACACACGAGCCACCCAAAAAATCTGGCAATTGGCTGAAACAAAAAGTGACAACAACAATAACATGATTCTTTTTTCTCCATTATATTCTATTAAGAGTCAAGTTCTCATTTAAATCTAATAAAAGAAGTAGAATAAATAGAATTGTCAAAGCAGTAGACAAGCAGAACAACCTTGCATCAATTGCTTCAAGTAGTGCCTGCTGATATTTGGTTCCCAACACCTAAATGTAGAAACCAAAATGTGATGATTACATAATGCTTCAAGAAAAGTTAGAATAATCTACAAATAACAGAAGATTCATACACGTATCTTTGCCGTGGTATTAGGGTCAAGAAAACCCTTAACAGAATTCCAAACAAGCTTAAAACCAGGACCAGCGTTTATGATGAACAATTGATGTAATATCTGTGTAACATATAGTGAACATATTAGCTCAGTTTCACAAACATAACGAAATGCATTTTACCTAGAACAGAAAGTACCTCAGGATAATAATCACCGCCAATTTTCTGCATATTTTGCAATAGATCTCTTGCATCCTTGCTAAGATTCTTTAAACCCTGAATTAAATTATTAAGCCCAATGCACCTTTCCATCAGTCCGTATCACAATGGTAAAAAACTTGGTGCAAAAAGTTTAAATTGCATTCTGCACCTCATTTTGCTACTCAATGAATGGAAACTTACCACACCCTGCACATCTAATATGGTGGTTGTTGAATCAATATGCTTTTTGGCTGCAATTGAACATGCAGGAAACTTCTCATGAAGGATTTTCTCAAACTCCTGCACGTGATGCTTTATATAGCGCTCTAATGTAGTTATATTCAGAAGTTTACTGGGATCAACTTTCCCCAGCATTTCAACATATATAGGCCTTCCTTCTTTGTCAACTCCATGGTAGCCACGAGGATAAAAGTGCAGGACTTCCTTGAATTCTCCATATTGAAAATCCTGCATTGAAAAATTGAATGTTGTACATTGCTAGGAATGTTTTAATAAAAACCAAGAAGCTATAATTCGACAATTTGCACTCATGAAAATTCTATTTACAACTGAATTCTCGATGTTGCAAACCTATATAACAGGATGGGACCTGATCAGGAAAACATTAAAAAAGGACCAACACAAACATAGGGTACTACAAAACAAAACAACCTTAAGGGAACTTAAGGAAGATATGTATGAACGGCAATATATATTAAAAGTTAACTCATGGCTTTTATCCTTAAACAACTATATTCCTGAATTTCATGTAGTTTAAAATATTAATTTTTTGGTGTTTTTTTTTCTTTTATATGCAAGCCAATAAAAAGCCTGGTTTTGAAAGATGAGCACAAAAATAAGATACATTCCACATGCATCATTCCTGCAGAAGATCCCTAAGAAGAAAATGCCTCCATTCCAATTTGGTTGAAAACATACAAAGCAAAACATAAGCATTTAAGAAGCAGTCTTTATAGCCAGAATGTCAAATTCCTTAAATGTGACGGGGCAAAGGAGGAAGAAGCGGATAAACAAATAGACACTATTAAAGTGCGTGAGACTTCAATTTAATCTCATGTCCAATGATTGAAAACCTATTTTATATTTTGGTTTTTAAAATATAAAATGATTAACCCTCGCAAATAGGCTTGTTTTGTTGGATTATTTACTCCTTGGAAAAGTTATTTAGTCGAGATTTACTACTGGAAGGTGATGAAAATTATAAAGTAGTTGAATTCAATAGTTATTTACTCAGACAAATTATTATAGTAGTTAAATTTTATTTACAGTTTGATGGATAAATTAGTTGTCTTTATTGGATTTTCTTTGATATATTGCTTCCAAGTTAGAACATAGTGATTAGAGAAATTTGTTATTTCCATATCTTTCAGCCTACTGAGATTTTTGGTGTACCTGTACCTTCTAAAGTTTATACCTTTTGATATTTTTAGATAATATTATGTCTCATGAGAATTATGCCTTCTGAGGGTTTTGGTGTACATATTCATTCTAAGATATTTGTCTTTTTTGGTTGTGTACACTTATTACTTCTTAGATTTTTTTCTTAAAAGATTTTTAAATAATCTTGAACCTTTTAAAGCTTTTACCTTGTGGGATTTTTTAAGAATAAAAGAAATACGTACATTTTAAGCCTTTTAGCCTTTTGAGGTTTTTAATATATATGTACCGCCAGAGTTTTATGTCATTTATGATTTTTAGATAATATAATGCCTATGCCTTCTAAGATTTTAGGTATATATATATATATATATATATATATATATTCTAAAGCTCTCTTAAAAAATTCTTGAATAATCCTAAACCTTCTGAGATTTTTGAATAAGTGGAGACTCTATCAATCATTTACTCTCATAGTCTTTTTAGTGATGACTCTATACACTGCTAGCTTTCCATCAAGGCCTACCTCATAGGCATACCTTCATTGGGTTATGATTGGAGACCCTGACTGTCATTTTTCTCCATGGGGTCTCTCTAATGAGGACCTTATCCACCATTAGTATCTCTTCAAGGCTACCTCATGAGCATATCTTCCTAGGATTTTAGTTAAAGCGTTGCTCAATGACATTAACCTGAAGCTAGGAGAAATCCACCAAGAATGTTTGATATATCCAAGGTTATTTTTTATAATGTTACTCAATGACGTTATCTTGTGTGAAAAAGGTAAGAAGAAATCTACTTAGGATATTTGACCTATCCAAAATTGTTTGTTAGAGTATTGCTCAATGACGTTAACTTATGTAGAAGAGATCAAATAGAATCTCTTGGAATCTATTATACCTTGATCGGGAGAGGCGAATGCCACAGGTACCTCAAATCAAAGGTGAATATTAGTTTGTCTTTAGACCATTAGTGTTTTTTGAGGTTGAGATTATGACTTGCCCAAAGAGTAGAAATCCAGTTGGAAACTGTGTAGAGTTTGAGATTCACTAGAAACCTTCATGTATTTGTTTGATGCTTTATAAAATATGATTGCCAGCAATATTAACTTGGATATTAAAAATATTTGAGGAACTTGCTTAGCCATAATCGTGTTTAAGATTTCAATATAAATATCATTTTGAGGTTATAGTTGTAATAACTCGTATTTTACCCAGTCAAATATATTTTTTGGAGTCAATATAAGTCCTAATTATAAACCGTCTTCATCATAGGATAGATATTATATTGTTTTAATTACATGAATTTTTTCATAAATTTTTTGCACTAGTGCAAATCCTTAAGAAATTGACACATGTAGGTACAAGTGGGTATTTTAGGACCGCTAGGTATATGTTTTGTAAATCAATTTATAAGAAGCTGATTATTGCGCTGACAGGCAAAAAGTGACAACTCTGATTGCTAAGTCAACAGTTTACTGACACTGATACGATACTGAAAAAATACTGATAAAGCTAGGACTTCTTACTTATTTAGTGTGATATACTGAGCATGTGATTAAGATACTGATTTGATACTTATATAAAATAATTGGATATCATGTATACATAATTATATGATTTTATTATATTGTTATAATTTCAATAATCTTTATCGATGATTTGATTTTATCGTTTTATATGATTTTTTTATTGATTGATAGTATTGATACGATGACTGCTTTATCGATTTGACACTCATACTAATTTACTGGCTTCCATATCATATTATTTTACTATTTATGATATCATATATATGGTTAAATGATTTCATATAAAGGCAAAGGAGTGTGAGACTGATCAAATTCAGGTTCATGTTCTTTTTATTTTAGCTATTTTTTGTACTTATGACAGAACAGTTGTGATATGATTGTATAGATCCTGAGTTGTGTATATAATTTTTGAAAAAATGAATATAGATATATATATAAATGTCTTAAATTCTAAAATTACTTTTATTATTTATTTTTTATAAATGAAATTAGATAGTTTTGGTGTTGTTTATTAAAAAATAAAAGAATAATCCTTTCAAATTAAATTATGGAACATCACAATAGCTAAGATTGTCCCCAATCTAAATCAATTCTCCACAAAATTGATACAATAATAGCTGATGATTTTGAAGAGATGGAACAATGTCTATTTGTTATTGCAGAGAGATTGCACTTTATATTGAAAGACGTTTTTCTGATCTGATAATGGCTAAAGGTAAAGGACAACCTCAAAACCTATACACAAGATGCTGATGTGAACAACCCTTCAAGGGTGTTGCAAAGGTTTCTCCCCAAACAAAAATCATTTCTCACAAACAACGCCAAACTATTACATGCTAGAAAATTTGAATCGAAAGAGTATATATTTTAAGTCTTAGTTTTGTACAAAAATTCAACGTGGATAGATAAAAATAGAAAGATCATAAATTTTTACATGAAAAATCCAAAAAGGAAAAAAATCATGGGGCTTGACCCAGATGATACACTATATAACAAAAGATACAAGAATTCTTCTTTCCTCAAAGTTGAAGTACACGATGACTCTTTGAGAATAAGATGTCTTATTTCTATTGTAGGAGTTAACATAAATTAATTGTCTATAGATGGACAACACCCAACCTCAAGACTTGATTTCTCTAATTAGGATTATAGAAATTGGATGTCTATAGGCGGAAAGCTATACCCCACAATAAGGTTATAGCATATCAAAATTCTGGAGATGGTGGTGATTATGGACGGTGATCGTTAGCTGCGTTAGCTAGAAAATATAAGAAAGATCTCTAATTCTCTCATTTCTTCCTCCCCTCATATGAAGAAAGAGACTTTATTTATAAGTTTTTTAAGTTGGGCATTTTGGTAATTTGAACAAGAATCTAAAACATTTCATTGTATGGCCCATATTAATTCCCTTGATCATGAAGCATTTATTCAACATTTTAAGTAATTTAATGATGTCGGAATTGAGTGAACTTGGGTTTGTTGGATTCGTCTCGTCAAGCCGCTCGATTCAACTATCAACATGCCTAATTTGGAGATCATTTGATCATCCCATTAATGTTTGAAGTTTTTAATTATACGTCAAGTGCTTGATTTGGGTTCCTTTAGGCTTGGATTGGACCACTTTTGGTATCGTTAGGCTTGTCTCATTGAATCTTTTAGATCAACTATAAGTTTTATAAAATGGGAGTTCATATAGCCTTGAATTTAATTCCAATAGTTTCTAATTCAAATTTCTGCCTGAAACAACAACATTTTTAACTATTTAATTAATGAACTTGAGCTCATCCATGTTGATGTATTCAACGAACAGAGGCGACTAAAACTGCATCTCACGAAGTAAAAAAAAATGTGCACATGCAAAATCCAACTTTTAGAGCATATTTCTCAAATAAATCAAAATTCTTATTTGAAAACTAAGCAGGAAATAAGTGACGCTAAATGAAATGTAAGAGTGGAAATAGAGACTTACCTCCATTATGGTGTCTGCTCCAAACTCTTTCCTCCATCGAAGCATCTCTTCCCACATTTGAATGGTTTTCCCAATATCAAACTTCTTAGCTTTCAAAAATCTGAAGTGTAAGATAGACAAGGGTGTTGGGGTTTATAAGAGTTTGAAGGAAGACAAAAGATATTGCCTGCTTTTGACACAGGATCAAAGCATGCTTTACAATTTTACAAACCACAAAGACAAAATATTTCTATAGGATTCTTTGATTGTAAGAAATTTTAGAATGCTATGCTTTCCTTTCCAAGTATAAGTTTATGAGCCAAATATTGTAGACGATATACCACGAGCATATAAATTTATTCAAACATATTTATCAATATAATATAAAATGTAAAGAGGATGGATTTTTCTTTAATAGAATTGATAATATTAGATATAATATTAGAGAAACAGAGGCAATCCATCTATAGAAGATAAAATACTTCGCTAAAAAAAAAGTTAACAGGACTTGTGTAACAAAGGATGAAAGATGCACTACTAAAATATAATGATCTCATTGAAGTGCATGGATGAGGAAGGAAAATAAAGTGCTCGCCGAGGAGAAGTATATATATATATAAAGGTGCGTTCTCCACAAAAATTACTTTTTAACAACAAAATTTACATTTTGAAAATATTAACTTCAAATCTATGGTCAATATTAATGATGTTGATCTACCACTCTAAGAACAATTAGATGATTTTATTTAATCAATTTTTATGAATGTTATAATGCAAATGAATTGCTTGTAATGCGCTTTAATAAAATAATAAAAATAATAGATATATTTTCTTAAGTCAAATTCAATGAAAATATTCAAGAAGTCATAGTATGCATGTTTAAAATTCCATTTGACTTGACTAGTTGAAATTAATAAATCATCTATCTTACCATCTAATTTATTAGTTAAGAATAAAATTCTTTCTTGAAGAATGATAAAACCATCTAGAAATTTATGAAATGTGAAATGCTACTACTTTCCTTATGAATAAGACGAACGGCTTTGATTAGCCAATTGAAAGCTATACGATTAAATAATAAGAAAAAAATAAAATAAAATCATAGTAAGATGTTTAAGACCATATGAAGCATATATGACTTCTTTAAATTTACCAATTTATGCAATATAGTAAGTTACCATCACGGTTGCCTTCCATCATTAGAATGATTCTATCGGGAGGAATAAGTCAATCCAACTTGATTTCCATAGTGAACTTTCCCAAATCTGCTCCATACATATCTATTTTCATTCCTCGCGTCAATTTAAAACATATAACAATCTCTTGCATCCTACTATCCTAGTTTGTGTAAGTGACTAGATGTCTTTTATTAATAGATCTCACTGGTTAGAGGGAAATTCTAATTAGAATTGTGGAATATAGATGAATATGGATCTGAAGTATTGATTGGTAGAGGAAATTAACCTGAGCATTGTATGATAATCATCATGTCTATCAGGCAGCAAACCCCTAGCAATAAGCTCAAGCCGAAAAGCATGTACTGTGCTCTCCTCTTGTGCATCTCTTATATCCTCTATCGAAACAGAAGAAGTCCTGTAATTAGCTTTCTTCCCTTTCTTTTTAAGAGAGTGTGTAAATTTGTTGGATGCGCTCAGTGCCTTCTTCTTGAGAGAACCCATTCGTGTTCTCCTCCTTTCGTCTTCCAAAACCTCGGCATCCAATATCCTATTTCTTCTTTCATCAAAATCAGCCATTACCTCATTACCTACACCACAACAAACACTGAAGATGAAATTGTGTGTGAAACCCAGCACAGCAAGCTTTCACATGATCACTCCGCCAAATCAGAATAAGGAAAAGAAATTAACATACCTGCCATTTTCTCCCTTGGCAAGGTAGAAATCCTTCGTTCACTTAGCATCTGTCGCTGCCAAAATATCACTAGTGAAAAAATAAGGATTAACTAGGTTTGGCTTCGCTAGCTGATCAAGTATCGATTTACCAGATGGAAGGCTATGCAATTTCAGAGACAATCAATCGAAATCACAACTTCCGCGCTAGTGAAAGCCTGAGAAAAAATTAAAAAAAAAAATGTTTAACAGCGTCTAAATCCATTTCTTCGCCTAAGCCTATAGATTTCCTTCCAGAAATCCAATGTAAATACCGAAAAAAAAAAAATCATAAAACCAAAAACGCCAGAGATTACTCTTTACAGAAGCTCCAAACTCGTCTAGGAACATGCCTCAATAAATCCATCAAACCCCTGCAACAGCCATACCCGTTCCTGAAATCGTAAAGAAACAGAGAAATCACCCAAATAAAACTCCCTTTTTCTAATCAATCGAATCCGATGAAACCGAAGAAACAAAAGAAAAGCAAGGAAGAGAAACACGCAAAGCATATCATGCAGATTCAAAGGGGAAATTACCTCACTACTTCAACTCTCTCATCTCTCCAGAGTCCAGACGCAATCTATATCTTCGGTATAAGATAATAAAGCTTCCGGCAATCCACCACCACACGAGAGAGAGAGAGAGAGAGAGAGAGAGAGAGAGAGAGAGAGAGATTAATCTTCTGATGCATCCAAAATAAAAGAATCGCCGAGAATTTTCAAACAGTGGAGTGCGCGTGCACTGTTTTTACTTTCCAGCTTGGGAGTGGCTATTGCTTTCCCTTTCCTCGGAGCAGACGAAGACGCCATTCGCTGTTAACGCATCAAATTCGTTTCGCGCTTCACTTTTGATTTAAATCGAAGAAATTTTTACTTTCGGCGAAGGAATATGTTAAAGCTTGGTGGTGGAGTGGACCGCATTGCCACGTGGATTTCGCTGCTCTTTCCGGTTTTTCTTTTACTAGTAAATTTTTTATCAAAAATATTTAAGGGTTTTTTATATATATTTATCATCAAAATTTTATTAAATAACTGTAAAAAACTAAAAATATCATTTACCCTTAACATCCTTCAAAATCATGCATGTTATTGATCCCATGGATGCAGTTAACAACGAGTTCTAAGATCATCTCCAACCGAATTGCATACCATTGTATGTCGTCCGCGAATCATTGCATTTGAACTACAAATCTCACGCTAAAAATTAGTATGTGAACAGTGTGACGTCATTATTGACGTCGAATTGCTCATCTACGCCAAAAAAAACAATTACATTCGCACTCTGCTTAGCTTTGCAGGAAGCGCGCGAAATAGGAGAGAGATAGTTACCTTCGCAAAGAAGCCGCGAAAAAAGAAAAATGGAGTTTCGTTGAAAATGAACTATCATATTTTGAAGTTTTACAGCATTTTAGAGTAGAAAATGTGATTTTTTATTGGAGATGCTCTAAATGCTCTCGCAATATCTCGTCACTATTTATTCATCATCATCACTCACATGCCATCAATCTCATCGCTACCTTCACATGTCATTGATCCCATGCATCTATGCCCTTACTAATAAGATCTCAGTGCTCCCAGCAAGATCCCACCCCATCTTCATCATATTCTTGGGGCGAACCTTCACGCATCGCCGATCCAACTGCATCTTTCACAATTCTATGTCATCATGGCTCATTTATTTTAGAATGCATGATAGGTTTCATAGATTGTATGGCTTTGTTATTTTACAGCTTTTCTCCTATATATTGGCTCAGGCTTCGTTCGAAATAGCTTTTTTGCTATTTTTTTTTTAAGTGGCATTTTCGAAATTTTTGTACTAAAAAACTGCTTTAGAAAATAGCAAAAAGTTATCTCAAACAAAACCTCAGTTGCCATGCTAGTGTTTGTGCTGGGTTTCTCACTTTTTCGCATGCTATGGAAATTAGTATGTGCTTATATTTACAGGCGTTTGCTCTTTAGTGAGAGTTTTTATTGGGTCAGGTAACTTGATGTAGAGATACATCAGGTACCCAATAAAAAAATATAACATACACTTTAAACAAAAAGCAGTCAGCTTTAAACAAAAAGTAATTGCATATGGCATTTTTTTATTAGGTACCTGATGTATCTCTACATCAGGTTACCTGACCCAATAAAAATTCCTTTAGTTAGCTTGCTTTTAGTAAAGTTTTAGTTCATCTTAAGGGTTTTTTATATATATTTATCATCAAAATTTTATTAAATAACTGTAAAAAACTAAAAATATCATTTACCCTTAACATCCTTCAAAATCATGCATGTTATTGATCCCATGGATGCAGTTAACAACGAGTTCTAAGATCATCTCCAACCGAACTGCATACCATTGTATGTCGTCCGCGAATCATTGCATTTGAACTACAAATCTCACGCTAAAAATTAGTATGTGAACAGTGTGACGTCATTATTGACGTCGAATTGCTCATCTACGCCAAAAAAAACAATTACATTCGCACTCTGCTTAGCTCTGCAGGAAGCGCGCGAAATAGGAGAGAGATAGTTACCTTCGCAAAGAAGCCGCGGAAAAAGAAAATTGGAGTTTCATTGATAATTCATTTTCAATAAGGAAAAGAAATTACATCTTACTAATTTTTTGCAATTTTCTAAAATGGTTTTTTTGAATTTTTTGTACTAAAAAATTGTTTTAAAAAGTAGCAAAAAAGTTGTCACAAACGAAGCCTCGGTTGTCATGCTAGAAGCAAAAAATTAGCATATTCATAGTTGTAACTTGTATTTATTCATGTTATGAGGTAAAAAATAAGTTTCTTTTCATGTAGAGAGTTTTAAATACTAGGAGTTCTCTTATGCGTGATTAGACAAATTAATTTAATCATATATACTATAATAATGCTTCTCTATCTTGAATGCTCATAATTGCATCCACCTGGTTGGTCATTGCTTTCAATAATTGGTTTAGGGAGGAAATAGGCATTATCTTGATGATGCTTCAAGCCAAGGCAACATCTTTCTCCATGTCATATAAACAAAGCCAAGATCATTGAAATGTAAAGGTGAAAGTGGTCCTTGATGCTAGATGGTCTTTCGTATCTGATAAATTCAAATTTGTTTGTGAATGACATCGTGTTAGTTAAGGTTTGATTTTGATTTTCAAGATTGGTAGTTACTACTCAAATTTCATTTATATTTTATTTTAAAATTGGAGACTAACAAGTTAAGATTCATTCATATTGAAATTTTTAATATGGTTGCTACCTAATTTAAGCTATATTCACACTTCATGGTGCAACTAAAAAAAAAACAAAAAAAATGGTGCAACTATTTTGGGTGCTTGCAAAGGCAGTCCTTTAACTTCTTCAAAAAAGAAAAAAATGTCTTTATTTTCAATTCTAACGAGAGAAGAAACTCTTAGTCATAGCAGAGAATAATTCTCATTTGGACCCCGATAAAAGGAAAAATCATTCCGTGCGGAGTATGGACGGTGAAGAACCGTCTAGATGTGAGTGTACACAGTGTTTGTACACATTATGTATAAAAAAAGCAAACTATGTACAAAATTATACTTAGTGTACACACTGTGTACACTCACATCCGGACTATTCTTTACCGTTCGGGCTCCGCATGGATTAATTTCTCCAATAATAGAGGGAGAAGAGAGTAATCGAAGTAACATTAATATTCATTCTCCACATCCAGGCATCTTCTTCACAACAGGTGCTTGTATTTTCTTTCAACCAAATAAAGTGGTATGTTTGTATTATCTTTGATTTTGTATGAAGTGTAATACTTTATGTAACTTTTTTGAAGTTTAATGAATTATTTAATCTGTATGTGCGGATGTGCGGCGGTGCACATAGGCCTACTTAAGCTAAGCCATATAAATTTCAGTGTTCTCTTTTGTGATATTTGATCTTTTTGCGGTTGCTTTGTTATTCATCATAGTTGATCCTTGGTTGGGACTCTTTCTTACCTAACATTCATTATCAGTAGAATGTATAAAAAAAATAATAGAAAAGATGAGATATAATGATAAATTAGAGTGAGAAAATTAGGTATTCCACTAAATCGTCAAAAAAGTACAATGCACTGTTAACTGATTCAAATGTGAAGACGTACACTAATTCCTTACTTATACACTTGGTCGAGGTACATCGCTACAAAAATAGCTACATAAAAGTAAAATTACATAAAAAGACTAATAGGTGTTTATCATAAATTGAGCAAGCCTAGCTAATTTGTATCATCAAAAAAGCATAGTAAGGTCATGGAAAGTTCTAAGTATAGGATGAGTTCAGATGAAGCCTCCATGGACTTCATTTAGAACTAGGAAGAGTCATAGGCGAATTTATTGGTAAGTTGGGCAAGTAGCCTTGTGACTTTAGCAAGTAGCATTGATGACTTTGATTAATCTCTAGATCAAATTAATATATACAAATTGAATAGCTTTTGATGACTGGTACTAGATCGACAACTTCTATTTGGTTGTTAATTTTATCTTTATACTTGTCAACTATTTATAAGCCTAGTTCATTATAATTGGTAAGACTACTCTAACTTTTTTGCAAAATATTCTTTTTAAAAGGATTTTGGTATTATGTCTAAAGCTGTTACTATTAAGTAAGATTCTGTTGCAAGAAACTTATCATTACATGGCTTCTATGTTAGATGAACCCTTTAATATCAATGTGTGTGCATTGATATGTTTTAAAAATTCACTTAATCAATATGAATCTTAAGGTAATATTTGAATTGGAATTAAATTAAAGATCATTTGAACATTAGATTCAACGAACTTATACTCCAAATGAACAGCTCGATGAGATGAACTCATTCATACCATAATTGATCTGATTTGACTCTAAATGAGCTTAAATCAAGCACTTAAAAAATAATTCAGAACTCGGGAAATTAAATGAATGACCAAATGGTCTACAAATCATATGTACTTATAGTCCAATCTAGTGGCTCAATGATAAAAATCAAATTAGATTAAGATTATTCAATTGTGACATCATTAAGGCACTTAAATGATGGATATATGAACTATGATTAAAGGGATCAATATTGATTGTTTGATAGAGTGTATTGAGTTTTTGCCAAATTTATCAATTCTCCCTATCAAAAGATTATGAAATAGACTCCATTTTCATTTGAGGTCTAAGAGAGCTAAAGAATTCTATTACATTTTTCAATAATCAACGCTAACAACCACCATTAGCAATCACCGCTACCATTAGCTAACCTCCATCATTTGACTACTGTCTTCTAACATCCAACATCATTATTGGATTTTTAAGTGTATGCTCATGGACTCCTAACTTCTATAATTCCAACAACATAAAATAAATAAATATTTTCAATTATATGGTATTGCCTTCTTCAATTATAAGGAAGTGCAAATTTTTGTATCTATAATTATATAATGGATCTTTACAACTGAGCCAAGCCTAGTGGTTTTTCTCCTAGTTGGGTTTTCCACATAAAAATTATGATATCTTATACATTTATTTGTGCATGCTAGACTATTCAACGAAGTTAATATTTTATACAATCTCTCTATTACAATAAATTTTCTGAAATGTAAGAATTTAACGTCATTTGTGAGAAATCATTAAAAATATAATATAAATATTTTTTTTTCAATAGATGAAAATAAATCACTCAATCAAGGACAATATAATACAGAAGATTAAGGTCACCCATGCCTCACTTTGAAGGATTATATGCATAGAATGGACAAATCTTACAACTCTTAGAGAAGTCTTGACAACAAAGTACATAATCAC